GTTTTCGCAATGCTTATGAACATTAGATTTGGTTTCCGGATTTGAGCCGCGTGAGTTCTTCTTCAAAGTGTCTGATTCGTTCCTTCCTGATGAAGCGAACTGAAACGTTCACGAAACGTCGGAATCAAACAAAAAAGAATGAACACGACTTAAATCCGGAAACTGAATCTAATGTTAAAGGAAATGTTTCTTTCTGCAAGAGTCTGGGCAAAGAAATAGCAACGCATTATTATTACATAAATACCGGATCCATTTCTTCGAAACCACTCATCTTCTGTGCCGCAATATTTCACGTATACATGCACTACCTAACAGCAGTTATCTCACTACTTGACAGTAATGCGAGCTTGCACGGACTATTGCGACGCAAGAGTTTTATTTGTCTTCGTACAAACCGCTTCTCTTTACGACGTTTGCCGCTATATTTGTTAATGTTACTAATATTATAAGCTATACTTACAATAAATTTTGTATATTCAATAAATATGATTTGTATTTCAAGCAATATATCTCAGATAGCACACGATATTCCATAGATATCCTAGTATGAACGTCCTTAAAACATAGGGACGTCCTCTAGATGTTTTTAAGATATCCCTGGGAAATTTGTGCTATTGAAGTATGTTTGTTAAAAGGAAAAATGATGAAAAATGACTTATAACAGTAACTATTCGATTTATTTCCGTAACGATCATCAAACAGCAAACGTCCTTTTGCTCTGATAACAGAAAGATTTTTCTCAGTGTAGTTTATTGGAAAATAGATTGATTTTTTCTGTTTCTTTTTTTTAAGAAGTTATAAGAGATAGGATAATAAAGAACTTTTCATATATATTAACATAATTTTCAATAAGGTACAACATTTTTTTATAAAAAAATTCATATATTTTATTTAGTTTCTGGATTCGAACCGTGTTTTTTTGTGTTTGATTCCAACATTTCCTGAACGTTTCAGTTCATTTTTTTAAAGAGCAGGGCGACCTGAAACTGCCGCTTTTCCTGCGAGGTGTCTTCTTTTATAGAAAAAGATGTTTTGGTGATGGATTGAAGAGGACATAGTGTGGAGGGAGATCACAACGATAATAGGGGGAGAGTAGATCTCCTATAAAATTATTTTACTTTGTGGGATAAGCTTTTCTGGGAAAATACTTTGCTAAACAGAACTGGAATATCAAACACATCCCAGACAACACAAAATCTCCTGAAGACGTCCTAAAGACGTTCTGAGGACGAAGAAAAGTCCTCAAGACTTCCTCAGGATGTACTCTGGATGTCCCCTGGACATCTGTGCTGTTAGGGATAGATTTCATCGGACTTTTAAAGAATTTCATGGCATAGGAAATATTTAAAAAATTCTATTCATACAGCTCTAGATTACATGGCAATGTCAACTTAATTAAATACATAACTTCTTTTCTCAATTGGATCCATTTCACCAGGTTGAAACGACGAGTGAACTATTCCATATTTATACATAGGAAATCTTTTATATCTGTGCAGATAAACGCATGCTAGTTTTGGTACAACAGTTTGTGCTCCGTGTTGCAGTAACGGATCATGTAGTACTGATCACACGTTATGCAGTAGTTAGTTACTCAATTTGCGAACGTGACAAATATTAAGGTTAAAAAACTTATTATAACGACTATAGTATTTATAATGTTTCACAAACTTATACGATGCGCACATGCTGATGTTCGAATAAAATTGATTGCTGATAAGTTTATGTAATATTAATTAAGAATTAATATGCTGAATTCGATATCTCTTCAAATGACAAAATCCTACAGCGACATTGCCATTAATATTGATACATCTCAGATAAAAGCGAATAACGAAACGAGTTTCGTGTCTGTCGCGAGAACGATTATATCGGCACGTAGAAAGTCGCGAGATAACAGCGGAGATCTAGAAAGTTAATGAAAAAATTGTCGCGCATGCGCACACTTGCTCGCACGCAGCGTGCTGCGCGAAGAGTGCGCGTGAAAATGGATCGAATCCGAGCATATTGCGGTTACCTGTTCAGACCATGGAATAAAACGCATGTCACATAGATAAGAACTTCATAGTTGGCTAAGTTATTTCGTTCCGTGACGTGGAGACGCGGTAAAAGTAAAGCTGGCGGTTCTACCGCGATAGAAAGAGAGCGAGAGAGGAACCACTTTATGCGCACGAGAGATCGATTATTATGTACCCGATACGATCGTCGATATAAGAAACACTAATAATTAGTTACTACGTAATCGGAACCTTAATAATGCGTCTCGAATTTTGCACTACACTGTTAAATATTGGAGGGTCAAGTTTAAACCAATTTCTTGAGTTAAATAATATTTAGTTATTTTTAACTATCATGTGTGTCAAAATTTACTATTTTAACACAAAACATGTGTTTAAAAAAACAACCTCCTCTAATCAACCCATTTAAAACAATATTGTCATTTTTTACTAAAACAAAGGTTACATTAACGTACACACAATAAAAAAATAAACTAAATTTTAGTCAAATTTAATACATTTCTTAAGTTAAATTATTTAACTCCATTACATTAGTTAAATTAACGACATATTTAGTAGGAGCAGTGGCGACTTATAGGAATTGTTAAAAATAACTCAAATTGAGTATAATTTGACACTAATTTGAGTATGATTTAACAGTGTAGGAGAAACCAGATCGTCATGTTTGTCAGAATATTGATGTTTTTATTCAATCTTAGTAATCAACTACTAGTATATAATATGATTATATCAACAATTTTTACATTCTCACAAATTTACTTTTCTTTATGCTGATTAATCTTCCTTTATGTTTATGTATGTATGTGTGAAGGTTAACATATTCCTCTAGGTTAATCTTCCTTTATGTTTATAGCAACTTATGTTGTACCAGAGAGAAACGACCGTTATTATACAGGGTGTCCCGCATCATCTTCAGTGGCTGCAGTGGCGCCGTCTGCCGTTGTATATTAAGTCAAACTGAACAAAAAAGTCCTCTACCATTTTGCAAATAGATTTTTAGATATTAATAAAAGAAAAAAAAAGTCTACCATTTTGATCACATAGGTTTTTAGATATTAATAAAAGAAAATTTGTGCATTGTGATACACGATCATGTAACAATTTTCTTTAATTAATATCTAAAAATTTATGTGGTTATTTGCAAAATGGTAGAGGACTTTTTTGTTCAGTTTGACTTAATGTATAAGTATATAATGGCAGACGGCGCCACTGTAGCTCATTTACCATATCGCGCGTGATCATTCACCAATCTTCTTTAATTAATTTCTCGGTTATTATTGAGAATATCGCAAAACTATGTGGGACTTTTGTGTTCATCTCAATCCACTCTACGTCCTCACGAGAGATTGTGAAGGTGATACGGGACATCCTGTATATATTTTTTCTTCTGTAATAATCCAATTACAAACACGCTTCATCGTACTGGATCTGCTCTAGTTTCTTTAATCACCCGGATGAAAATGATCAGAATATAAAACGCTCTATTAGAAAATCTTCTTTATCAAATGTCAGATGTGAATTTACAAATTGGAACAAAATATATATATAGACGCAGCTCAGTGTTGCGTCATAGAAGAGGATGACGAAATATTCCGTTCTAGATTTTGCGATTGTAACTAAAAAATTATTAATATTTAATGAAAGAAACTAGCACGCATAAAAGCCATCGTTCTGAGTAATTAATAAGTAATAATGTAATAATGTAATTGAATAAAATTAAAAACAATAATTGAAAACGCACAAAGATATACTGTTCTGAGGATAAGCGTTTTGCACGGAGACTTTCCTTTAGGAAATCTTATATAAAAACGTCACTTGTACATGGAAATAATATCACAGTTTCTTTTTTACAAATTCTTTTTATTTGTACTATTTTTAGTAATGCAGAGGAAAATAGATAATAAAGTATATCTTAGTAAGAAACAGTAAGTTTCGCTAAAAACATGGCAAGACTTCTAAAAGAAGTAGGACGCTTTGCGGACGTCTTTAAGATATTTTTTAGTAATTAGTGTCATTCAGAAATTTATTCCTTATTTACAAAATTTTATAATAATTTTTATTATAAATGCTCTCCGTATACTCATCCACCACGTGAAACCAACCTTTCTCCGATTATAATTTCTTTATTGATATTAATATAATTTCCTCTCCCTTCCCTATTGCTAATATAATTGCTATTATTAATAAAATAATAAATGCAATCAAATTGTTATTATTAAGGCAATTATTATTTAAAAAATTATTAATATTGAGCACTACTAAAAAATCATTCACGTATTAAATTTTAAATAGAATTTTGGAGACCAAAAATAGATAAATAACAAAATAGATACATATTTGTACTGCGGTAAAGAAGAAATAGTCCATAATAAATTTTACAATAATCTCCTAGATAAGAATTAAAATGAATTGTATAAAGCACTCCAATAGAGGAAACATTTTTACATAAATTTCAAGCCTATTCTTTGAGAAATTGAGATAAAAGGTGAAGGCGAAGAAGCGTAACGAAATATTCAATCGTACATTACACCATACTTTTCTGAATAAAAATTATTAACGTTGAGTGCACCTTGACAGGGAAGTTTTTATACCAGATTCATGATATACTCTTTGAAATTGAGATGCGGCTTTATCGCGGCATAGGAGGAACGCGAAATAAGTCAGTCCCGGAGAGAGGCCGGCGATGAGAACGATTTCACGTTTCCCGTCGGACGATAAATCCGGTACGAGCGCTTCCCTCGTAAAATCGCATTTCGTGAAGTCACCGGATACGTTCTGGTGTGTGGGCCGCGACAAGGTCCTGTCACAACGCCCCCGCCTTTTTACACGCCAAGAGAGCTGTGACCACACGGTGAACGGGTCCTTACGCGTGCAGATCGACCTTTTCGCCCGAAATGGCAAGAGCGAGGGTACACGTCAGGATCGAATCGGTTAACACTTCGACTATCGTACTACATTTGTTTCGTTGGTCCTAAATTTCAGTTGGAGTTTAGCGAGAATAATGAGATACATACCATTATACATACAAAAACGATATCATCACTTTTGTCTTCCAAATTTATGGATTTGCAAGAAACTCTATCCAATATTTCAAGATTGACAACCTCGCTTCAATGTAATCTACACTGAGAGAAAAATGTATGATATTTGGCGCACATCAAGATTGCTGACGTTGTATTATGGAATGCAGGATGCAAACTAATTAGATCTTCTGGACAGGTATATTTTATACTATGTTATTCATATAATAATCGCTGAACTTTCGTTGAGAATATTTAAGAATTTCTTTTACATCTTTCACGAAAAATTTAAAAATTATAAATCATATACAATTATATAAAGTATATATTCCTACATTTTAAATTTATTTAAAACTTGTATTGGTAGAGAGAGAGAGAGAGAGAGAGAGAGAGAGAGAGAGAGAGAGACCAGATATTATATATATTTCGAATGCAATACCAATAATGAGATACATACCATTATACATACAAAAACGATATCATCACTTTTGTCTTCCAAATTTATGGATTTGCAAGAAACTCTATCCAATATTTCAAGATTGACAACCTCGCTTCAATGTAATCTACACTGAGAGAAAAATGTATGATATTTGGAACTATAATAGCATAGTAAAAAGATTATAGTTAGATTATAGTTATTATATCTTTTTTTGTAATAAATGTCACCATAATGTTTGTAATATTTACAATATAAGCATAGTATAACTGACTCATATAAAACTTTTATCAAGAATTATAATTATTTGAAATAAAAAACATAATAAGGTAGCAAATATTAAATGGTAAGAGAAATTAACTATTTTATATAGTTAATACAATTGGAATATTTGGAAAATATGGGTACATATAACTATATTCCCAAAGCGTGCTTTACTATACACATAGAATAATAAGATAGTGATAAATATGTGTTTATTCTGCTATATCTTCGTGTTTAGATGAACTATAAATATATGTTTGAAGCCAAAACGAACTATAAAATATAGTGAGATTATAGTTATTCCAACTATTTTTTTCTTTCAGTGTAGTATTAAACATATAGTAACATAACAAATGGGAAATAAAAGAATATAATCATTTTTGCGAAAACACGTTTTCACGAGTATTCGACATAAGAGATGTCAAGGCCCCACAGGATTTAAAAGAAAACATTTATAAAATTATATGACGAAATCAAAATTAAATTTGTAATGCTGCATACTGCAATTATTGACTATATGAAAAAAACTTATATATAAAAATAATGATATTTAGTGTAACTTTGAATGTTTCTGTTTCGATTATGCGCACATCAAGATTGCTGACGTTGTATTATGGAATGCAGGATGCAAACTAATTAGATCTTCTGGACAAGTATATTTTATACTATGTTATTCATATAATAATCGCTGAACTTTCGTTGAGAATATTTAAGAATTTCTTTTACATCTTTCACGAAGAATTTAAAAATTGTAAATCATATACAATTATATAAAGTATATATTTCTACATTTTAAATTTATTTAAAACTTGTATTGGTAGAGAGAGACAGAGAGAGAGAGAGAGAGAGAGAGGGGGGGACTAGATATTATATATATTTCGAATGCAATACCATCGCAGTTTATACTACTTTAAGAAAATATCATCGGAAATTTGCCCAGCAACATACCTGTTAATTATAATTTTCAGCTCAATAATGTTACACGTGTGTCATATAACAGTTACACTTATAACAGTATTGAGTAGGGAATTACAACTAACAAATATATTACATGTAAAATTGTGTTCCCTGGATTTCAAATATTATCATATCTTATATCATAATAAAGTTATCGTAAATTGTACCATAATTAGGTGAACAATGAGTTGTATACTAAAGATGATTATAGGATCTTAAATAAAGTTCGGGAGAGTTGACAAACAATGCCCGAATTAATATTATCATTATTAAATGAAAACTAACCGTTGCTTTTAACAGTCAAATTGAAGCAACTTTGAGCAACACAGGACATAAATAGCATGCGAGAAATTTTCGATATAAGTCCTTCGTATCGTGACAAAAATAAACAATAAAGCAGGTTATATGTTCTTTCGTATCAATTTCTTTAATTATATATCGCAGAAAGTAATTGATTATTAGACGCTATTCTGAGCCACTTCAAACTCTTACATACGATTGCAAGATTATTTTTGATATTAGTGTAAATAATATACAAGATCTATTATTCTTATGAATAAATAATTGATGTTTTTAATAAACAATACATTAATTATGTATGCGTGTGTGCTCAAACGAGACATTCTACTCGCTAACGAATATTCGCCCATGATTCCTTATATTTTTCGACACAATTCTGACAACATTTCTCGGGACGTACAGGACACTCATAAATATAGTCCTTAATATTAGTTAGGATTAGTATCCTCTGAGCAGTCCCCAAGTATATATCTGAACTCTACATGTAGAATTTTGTCACTTGAGACGAATCCTCCTTAAGAAATATCGAACTCAGCATATTAATTCTAAGTTAATATTACAAATAACTTGTCTGTAATCATCAATTACACTCAAACATCAACATGTGCGCATTATATAAATCTGTAGAACATAACACAACAATATGGCACAGGCATTGTAATAGATTCTTTAATCCTAATATTTGTCACATTTGTAAACGAATGACTTATTATAGCATAACGTGCAATCAGTGCAACATGATCCGTTACTGCAGCAAGGAGCATAAACTGTTGCACCAAGAGCAGCATAAGTATATATGTGCAGTTTTACAAGGTATTATATCTTTAGGAAACAAATGTGTCAACTTTGCTCGTCGTTTCAACCAGGAGGAATGGATCCAGTCGAGAAAAGAATTAATGCATTTAGTTAAATACACATTGGTACGTGATTTACAGCCGTATGAAAAGCAGATGATCTTGTTGGCAAGGTCATGTCTTATTTGTCATCAACAAGAGGGTCTCAAAACTTGTATGACGTGCTATTCCAGCAACTATTGCGATGAACACACAGAAGCTTTTCTAAACAAGCATAATTCCAATTGCGCAAAACTTGTATTATGTTTTAATTTAGCTCTTGATCTTCCATATAATTATATACGTAACGACAAATTTGTTACGTTTCCCGATGAGAATAAACCCGTTGTTGACATGAAGTCATTTATTCTACAATATATACGAGTAGAAAGGAATATACATTCTTCGTATGCGGAAGACTATTACTATTCTGATTACGTGTCAGGACCGTTAACACTGTATTATATGATGAAGAATTTAAAGCTATTACATATTTTCGGTGAAAAAGCGTCTACCTGTGTTGTACATATAATAGCGGCAAGCTCAGTCGACACAGAATATGTCTCCGCATGGGAATTTCTCTTACATCTTTTACATAACGTGCATTTAAAACTTGTATTGATAGGACCGGAACTAAAGAACAAAAGTGATAGTATCGAAGTTTGTCTGAAATGTAAACACATGTATCGAAATCTTAGTTTCGCATCTTATCGTATGTTGTACCACACTTATGTGAACAGTGCATATTATATACGGCCAAATGTTATAGTAGGATTTCAAAACGATTTTAGTAATGAGGAAATGTGGTCAGCATCGCTTTTCAAATTACGGGATCAGGACTGTCCGTTCCTTGTTACCGCTGACTCGAAACTTAAATCCGATCAGAACAGAAGTAACATAGAAAAAGTTCTAGGTACACTTTTAAATTTAATATATCATGACGAAAATAAATTCAGCTCGGGTATGCCATATAGAGATTTTAGGAACGATACTATTTTCTACCGTAATAAGTATGTAGCTGTTTATTTGAATTTATATCCATTGTTTTGGCCGGCTTTTTTAGAAGCTATAAAAATGTAATATCAATATGATAATAACATTGTAAACAATATAAATTTTAAATGTAATTTATTAGGCATAAACAATATATATATATATATATATATATATATATATATATATATTAGGTAATATATTTACTGTTCTGATAAAGGCATTGCAGATTTTTTTAATAAAGAATACAATTTTTATAAAGAAACATATTAAAAATTGCGCGTCAGTTTTTATTTTCGTGATTGCGTTTATAGCAAAATGTTTCCTAATCCCACATACTTTTCTCATAGCTCTCTTACTATTATTTGTACTATCTATTTATTAATTATCATAGTGTAACATTTTGTAAATTCCCATTTTTATCTGAAGATTTTCTTTCAAACGACACAAAGTATAATAAAAGCATTCATTCAGGAATTCTATATCCAAATATTTGTGACACTTTATTTTTAATGAATATAGTGATAGTTTGTTATATATATATATATATATATATATATATATATATATATATATATATAAAATTACATAGTAATAGTTAGTAAATACTTCTTAAATGTGGATGCGGAATGAAATATTCATTATTTTTCTAATTTGAACACTTGAACTCAACAATGGAATAAATTTGTGTGATATCTATGGAATGATGTCTCGTGCACTGAAACAATAAAAAAGGTAATTGTATTTACACAAGCTCATCTGTTTTGTTATTAATTGACAAATTTACACAACTGCATGGCGTGTTATTCGTACTTGACAATTCTATTTACAGTTTCCTTGATTATTATTAGTCAGGTACTGCTTTTGTCATGTAGAAATATTTAAATATCATCATAGTTTCAATTGCAAGAAGCTGCTGTTGCCTCTTATTAGCTTCAATCTAAATGTCGAAATACTATATTCGTATTATTGTTGAAAAATAGAACTGCTGCATGTGTGCGTGTGACTAGTATTCTTACTCTGACTAATACAGCTTATCCTATAGTAAACGTTAGTTAAATCATTAACTTTTTGTATAGAATGTTGGATCTATAAAACCCGGACAAATATTCGGTCACTTACATTCATTTTTTTTTTATTTTGAAATTACGCAAATTTCCTGTTTTTTAATTTTATTGCACTTATATTTTATAACTGAAGTTTTTCTGTACATCTGAGAAAGAGAGAATATGTTTAAAAATATTGACATTTAACAAAGTTATAGCAATTCAAAATTATTCTAGTCTAACGGACTTAAATTTAACTGTATATTCCAAAAAAATTTTGCATGGAAAATTAAAATATTGCATTTTAAATATTATTATATGTTGTATCATAATTATGTTTCATAGATTGTATCATAATTATGTGGACAATGAATTGTATACGCGAAGAAAGATGATTATAGGATTTTAAAGTATAAGAGTTGACAAATAATGCCGGAATTAATATTATTATTACTAAATAAAAACGAACCGTTGCTTTTAACAGTCGAATTGAAGCAACTCAGAGCAACACAGAACATAAATAACATGTGAACAATTTTCGATATAAGTCCTTCGCATTGTAATGAAAATAAACTTGCTTCGCGTAGATCACGGAGTGAAATTAAAGCAGCTTATATGTTTTTTTATACCAATTTTTTTAACTATATATCATGGAAATTAATTAATTAATAGACGTCATTCTGAGCTACTTTAAACTATTATATACGATAGCAATATTATTTTTTACATTATCGTAAATAATATACGAGGTCAATTATTTTTATGAATGAATAATTAATACTTTTAATAAAAAATACACTGCTTTTGTATGCGTGTATGCTGAAACGAGACATTCTACTCTGTAACCAATATTCGTGATTCCTTATATCCTTAGGTACAATTCTGACAACATTTCTCGGGACGCACAGTACACTTATAAATATAGTCCTTAGTATTGGTTAGAGTTAGTGTCCTCTGAGCAGTTGCCAAGTATACATCTGAACCATGTAGGATTTTGTTATTTGAGACGAATCCTCCCTAAGAAATATCGAGTTCAGCATATTAATTCTAAGTTAATATTACAAATAATCGGTCTTTAATCATCATTTACACTGAAACATCACCATGTGCGCAGAGAGTACACCTACAGCGAGGACATCTACAGAACTTGATCTAATAACATATTATAGACATTGTAATGAATTCTTTAATCCTAATGTTTGTCATATTTGTAAAGCAGTAAATCTCAAAAACATATTGTGTAGCGAGTGCAAAATGATCAGTTACTGCTGCAAATATCATAATAGGTTGCACAGAGAGGAGCATATGGATATGTGTCAAAGTTTAAATCGTATTCTGCGTATCCATTACGAATTATTTAACTTTACATGTCGTTTCAACCAGGAGGAATGGATTGCGTCAAGAAAACTATTGATGAATTTGGTTAAGGCCGACTTGTCACGTAATCTGGAGCCGTATGAACAGCAAATGATCTTCTTCGCAAAGTCGTGTCTTATTTGTCATCAACAGAAGTATCTTGGAACTTGCTGGAAATGCCGTTCCAGCCACTTTTGCGCTCAACATGCAACAGATTTTTACAAACAACATTCTTTGAATTGCGATGAACTTCTATTATATTTTAATTTAGCTACGAAACCTCCGCCTAATTTTACATTTAAAAACAAATTTGTTAGGTTTCCCGATAAGGATAGACCCGTTGATAACATGAATTCATTTATTCTACAATATATGAGAACAGAAAAGGATGTAAATATTTGGGATGCGGAAGACTATTACTGTTCTGATTGCGCGTCAGGACCGTTAACATTGTATTATAAAATGAAAATTTCAAATCTATTACATATTTTCGGTGAAAAAGGTTCTACCTGTGTTATACATATAATAGCGGCAAACTCAGTTGACAAAGAATATGTCCCCGCATGGGAACTCCTCCTGCATCTTTTACATGAAACAAGGCAATTAAAACTTATATTAATAGGGTCGGAATTAAACAACGAATCTAATAGTATCGAAATATGTTTTAAATGCGATAACATGCAGGAAAGGTTTATTTTCGAATCTTATTGTACGTCGTACCACACTTATGTAAACAGTGATAATTATACACGGCCAAATGTGATAGTAGGATTTGAAATAGATTTTAGTAATGAGGAATTGTGGTTTGCATCGCTTATAGAATTACGGAATCAAAACTGTCCACTTCTTATAACCGCTGCATCGAAACTTAAATCTGATCAAAACATAGATAATATAGAAAAAGTTTTAGGTAATTTAAGAATGTTAAATTTAATATCTGATGGTGAAAATGAATTCAGCTCGACTTTGCCATGTAGAGATTTAGAAAACGATTCTATTATTATCTACCGTAATAAGTATGTAGCTGTCTTTAGCAACTTAGTTTCTCTGAAATGGTCGCCTTCCAGTACACAAATATAATACCAAGATGACAATGAGTTGTAAACAATATAAATTTTAAATGTAAATTATTAGACTATATGTTTTCCCTTATGATAAATGTATTATAGATTTTTTTAATAAAGGATGAATTTTTTTATGTATCGCATTAAAAATTGCGTGTCAGTTTTCATTTCCTTAATTGCGTTTGAAGTAAAAGTGTTTCTTAATCTATTCGGTGATAATCATAGTATAACATTTTGCAAGTTCTCATTTTCTTACGTGAAGATCTTCTTTCGAATGTTACAAGCTAACAAGTGATACACGCTGATTTTTTCATCTTTTGAGGACTGGTGCAGAACATGATTCGTCTCATCATCTTACGTTATAAAAAATAAATACGTTAATCAGTACACACACACACACCCATACGCGGACGCACGCACGCACACACGCGCGCGCGTACACACACACGTATATATATATATATATATATATATATATATATATATATATATAT